AGCGGTGCCTTTTGGTTTCCCCATAGTCGGTCCCCATTCCCAGACCCCCGACGTCGTGATTTTTTCACAACGTCGACCCCCCGAAGTCTGGACCCCTTCCCAGGGACCAGTTTTTCGTCCTCAGTTGTTTTTTGACGGTCCCGCGGCTGGGGAAGGGCCCCCAGAGGCCGAAAATGGTGAAAAATCTCCCGCCGCGATTTTTTCACAGCGCGAGGAGGTCTGGGTTTGGGGGGGCATCCACGCATCGACGTTTGCTCAACAGGCCCGGGCGTTTGCCGCAGAGCCTTGCCCCTGGTCGATTCCCCCCCTTTTGGGTGGGCTTGCGGGAGGGCTTCGCCCGTCGGGGTGCTTCTGATGATGACGGCTCCTCTGCCGACGGTGCACCGTCGGGGCTTCAGAGATGGGGCCCAGAGGGAGGTCGGGCGGGTCCGCCCTACCAGGGGGGGGGGGGAATCTGGGCGAGATGTTGAACATATGTTCGAAACAGATTCCCAAGATGCTAAACAAATATTCAAAAAAGCAGTCGTCCCCAGACTTTCTCTTGGGGGCCAATTGTGAATACTCCTCCTGCAGAGGGACAGGCCCGACGGAAGCCCGGAGGGAGGATGCCCCGAAGGCAGGCAGGCGAAGTTTTGCACTGCCCGGGGCTTCCTCGCCCGACAGGGGGCCCCCAGGTCTCGGGCCCCGGACTCTCCTCGAAGGTGCCCGCCCAGGGGCCCCGCACGGACCGCTCGGCGGCGACGTCCGCGCCCTGCCCTCGCCGATCCACGACTGGGGCAGTTCCTGTGGAAGTCGATTGATGGAGAGGAGGCGTGCTGCCTAATTTCCAGATGTCTAAAAGAAGTTTCCAACATGCTTTGGATCTGTGAAAAGACAGGTTTGAAAAAAACATTGTCGGGGGTGGACAGAACCCCCAACAGTGACACGTCGATTAGTGAATTGTCCGTTTTCGGTTTTCGAGAGGGCGCCGTGGCCGTTATTTTCCAGGCTTGCGCCCGCCAGATTTGGGCCTCAGGTCGTTTTCACTAAACCACGTTTTACTAAAGGGAGGTCTGTCCATCCCCGACATTGGCAGAACATGTTTCACACAGTTCAGCCGCGTCTCTAATTCAACGACAGGATTGCTAGGGTGTCCATTGTCATGGCATCCACAAGACTACTCGGCGGCGAAGTCCGAGCCCTGCCCTCGCCGATACACGACCGAGGCGAGTCCGAGGGGCGGCGGCTCGAGGTGTTCGAACCTCGACGATCGAGGCTCTTTTGGCTCTTTGGGCTCTTTTGGCTCTTTCGGCTCTTTCGGGGGCCCTCCTCGTCTGTCCACGGCAGGGCGCAGCTCGCAAGCCCTGTGCGCTTGGACCCTGGCAGGGGGCCTGGGGGCCCCTGTTGAGCGCAACTCGAAGCGACCCTCGTCGACGAGCGGTCCAGGCAACTCGATGGGCGGCGGGAGTGGGGTTCGGAATGCGTCGCACACGTGGCGAAACCCGAACCCCCACCACGTCGAATCAGGAGAGTCGGCTGTTGGGGCGGGGGTACGCTTCGGATCTCGCCACCTGCCCGGGGCCGCATGCCTCAGATCCCCATCTTTTGAAGCACCGGCCCGGGGGGCCTTGCACGGACGGCAGAGATGGAGAGACCGTGTTGTCCTCCACGGGCGACAACGGGCGGGATCGGGGCGGGGGGGAGTTGGAGGGGGCTGGTCACGTCACGTCTCGCGACGGCGCGTTCTGGGAATGTTTGCCGGCGCGAAACGTGACGTGACCATCAGGGGAGGGGGAGGAGGAGGAGGAGGAGGAGGAGGAGGAGGAGGGGAGGAGGAGGAGGAGGAGGAGGGGGAGGTGGAGGAGTAGGAGGGGGAGGAGGAGGTGGAGGAGGCGAAGGAGGAGGTGGAGGAGGAGGAGGAGGAGGAGGAGGGGGAGCGGGTTCGGCGTTATCGCGAACGATACAGAGCGGGCTCATAACAGAGGGCTTTGCCTGCGCAGGGGCTTTGCCTTCGCAGACAGAGCTGGCGCCAGGACCTCTGCCCGGAGGTCGGGCTGCATTGGATTGCCCCCGACAGGTACATCCTCACCCTGGGCGTGGTCGACGGCTTCCGAAGGACCTGCTGACTCCAGGGTCGATGAAGAGGAGGACCAGGAGGAGAACCAGACGAGAACGGAGACAGAGAGAGAGAGAGCCTTGCAGTTCTAGGCCTCCCACATGGGATCCAGACAAGGTAGACGGGGCCAAAGGATCGCACAGCATCGCTGATGCATCGGCGGTGCGGCTCGATGGGGTCCCGATGTTCTCTTGCTGACGTCGCCGATGTATTGGCGATTCGGTGCGTTCCTCCGACTAATCTACTCGGACCCCATTTGGGTAGCCTCCCTGTCATTGCGCCAGAGCCAGCTGTCTTGAATTCGAAGCGTCTTAATCAGCGTCTGCGGCGGCGACCAGAAAAATGATACAGAGACTGACGTAATCCCATCAGCCAACACGTCAACGCGTCAAGCGCGTTATTGATATTACCATCCACGCCGCCGCCGAAGGGTCAAGGGTCTCATAGCTCACTGATTCAATATTGAACACCAATCAACACCCGTCCGTAGACAGTCCTGTTCAAAGATACAGCGCGATGACGCAGATTGTTGTTCAGCAGAGGCGACGATGTCTGTCTACGCTTACATCGTCGGAGCTGGGATGGCAATTTGGATGCTGTCGTGTACTACTCTGCCTGGTTCCTTTCACGTCGCTTGCCACGTTTGGAGTGACTCTGCGGTGGTGCGTCCACAAGTTTATGGAAGAGGTACCTTTTGATATCTGTTCCCGCCGTGGCCTACCAGCATCGGAATGTTTTGTTTCGCTGTGTGATATAAGTGTGTATGGCGGGTGCACAGAGGACGGACACGCCATCTTCATGAAAGGATTCAATGCGTTATGTGTCCAGCTTATCATGCTGGTGGTCGCGCGCCTCGCTTTCCTGCGGCGCGTGGCTCCATCTGTCCTCGGTCATCCGTGCAGGTGCCTTGACCTGAAGTGCATCCGTATCAGGTGAGCGACGAAAGAAGACGGGGTCGATTGCGCGGACATTGGCGCGAAAGTTTCCCCGCGTAAGGCTGCGCGTGATCGCCCTCTCTCCCACGCGGAGTGCCAGGCCGGCGGCCCGCGTAACCCACGGCGGAAGCTCGCGGTACCCCCTGTCGTATGCCCCGCCTCGATTCGTCGCTCAGGTGCAGCCTCATCTTCGGCCTCAGCGGCTTCTCCGCGGCGCTCGCCATGGTGCCCATGGCCGCGATCACGTTCCACGACGACTATGCGGCGGGCCTTGCGGCCCGAGCCGCCTGCCCCCCGGGCCTGAGAGCTCAGCCCCAGACGTGGAGGCCTGCGTCGCTGGCTCGCCCGATGTCGCCCCGGACCTCACCGCCCACCAAGCCGCCCCCAACCCAACCCGAAGGCCCCGATTTGCCATCAACTTCCAGTGGGGGGGGGGGACATGTACGGTAGGTTCGCGTCGTGTCGACCGGCGGCGACCCCGCCGCGGGCGTTCAAGGTTGAACGCCGCCAGTGGCCCAGAATCGGCCTATATGGAACGATCGAGCGATCCACAGTCGCCGATCGTTCAAGGTTGAACGATCCACGCGGAGTCAGAAACCAACGCCGGGGTCGTCACGACACCAACCTGACGTAAAAAAACAGATGAAGCCCGTGCCCCCCCCAACCCCATACCCAAGCTCGGGCGGAGTTCAGAGCTGCGGGCTGGGTCGGGGTGGTCTGGCAGGAAGTCGCCGTGGTTGTCCACACCCGGGCCGAAGTTTTCGGCTCTGCCGTCGGAGGCCACCGGTCATCGCTGGCCCGACCGCACTCGCGGGCGAGCTCGGCCTCAGCCGCCCCTCGCTCGAACATTCGAGCTTTGGGGGGGGGGGAGGCAAGGCCACCCACGGCTAGAGGCAGTGCCGTGGTATCCCCCAAGTCGTGAGAACGAACGCCTGCGACTCTCGGTACAGTGGGGGCCCATACCAAGAAACACATTGCTTGCCTCCAGGGTGCCCCAGGTTTCTTGGGTTCCGATGGCTTCTGCGATGGAAGACGCCAGAAATCCATGGGCGTCCTGGGGTCTCAGGGTTGGGTTTCTTGTGGAAGGCCTCTTGTGGTCGGGCCCCTTGCTAAGAACCTTCTGTGGTCTGCACGAAATGTGATTCGAACACTTCTGGCCGAGACTGTCGCGTTTTAACGCGTCGGGTGTCCTGTGTTCTAAGGGCATTATCCTTGTTCTTGGAACACTTCTGGGCTCAAGGAACATCTCGTGGTAGGCCTATGGGACTGCCGGGACGGTCGGTCCCCGCTCAGCAGTGATGCATTCGGGGCACCGCCGTGCCCGCACCCTGGCGCTCGCGGGTCCCGCCCGCCCAGCGCAGGGGCTCTCGACGGCCCCCAGGTGCCCGCCCCCAGCTGGGGCGACCCCTGGACCAGAGGGTGCCAAAGGGTTTTTGTTGGGGGGAGGAGGTTTTCCAGGAGGGGTCCCCCCCGGGGGCTTCGCATCCATGGTTTTGACGAGTTTCCGAGGCCCCTGGGGGGGGCTCTCTGGGAAACCCCTTCCCCCCCAAAAAAAACCTTTTGGAGCCCTCCAGCCTGGAGGCCAGAGCCTGCCAAGAGCCTCCCGCTGTGTCGTCTTCATGGCTCACCGAGCGCGCTCCACTGCTCGCAAAGTGCCTGGAGACTATGTTTTTTGAGTGTCTGGCGATAGCCCGGGTTATCGGGCTTGCCCCCCCCCCCCTCCCCCCCCGCCCCCCCCAGGATAACCTGACCTTGCCGGTTGTGCAGGTCCGGGGTGGGGGGGCGCGGACATACACCGGGCTGCCCACAGCGCGAAGGTTAGGGTATCGGCCGGCCCCCTCCCCCCCCGGATAACGCGGGTTATCGCCGATTCAAAAAAACACGTTTCCCATTCGCAAGCGTCCGAGAAAAAACATAAGGAAGGTATCGTACATCCCCCGCGGCGGATCCAGGCCATTTGCGAGCAGCTACTTTGCGAGCAGTGGCACGCGCTTGTCGAAGTGTTCCACGTCGCCAGAGCGCCCGGGGTCCGCCCGATCTGGGGTGGCCGTCGGACCTCTCGCACTTGTTCTGGGCCGTCGTCATCTTCTGGGGTCGGAGGAGGGGGGGATGGGGACGGGGAGACGGGCGGGGTACGCAAGCTGCTGCACGCAGCTGCTTTTGCCGAGGCGGGATTTTACCCATGTCCACCGCCTGGAGGGTCAGGTTTCGGAGCCTCGGCAGGCGGTGGATATGGACATATTCGGGCCCCCGGGGGCCGAAATATATCGATATCCACCGCCCGCTTGGGGTACCAGGACGTCGGTTCCCAGGCGGTGAATATGGATAACTCCCCGCCTCGCACCTTTGGTCTTTGCCGCGGGCCGTCGTCCTGCATGCATGGGCGCCGCCCAGCTCCGGGGGTCGCTGGGGAAGCCGGGCGTCGAGCAAATGGGGGGGCGATGAGTGGGGGGTGCGAGGGAAGGAGCACCCTCTGTACCCTGCAGGGGCCCCCTGGGGCCCAGAAGGGGGCACGAGAGGTGCACGTTTCTTCCCCCCGCACTTCTCTCGCCCCCCATGGAGTCGCGCCCGAAAAAAAGCAGCTGCGAGAGCTCCCCCGCGAATTGACAGGCCTCGGGCGCGCAGGCAGCCCCCCCCGGGGAGTGCTCTAGCTGGTCTCCTCTGGTCCAGGCCTGGAGATAAGGCGGGCCTGTCCCTCTACAGGAGGAATACTCAGACATTGTGAAAAATAGTCTGGGGACGATGTTTTTAGTACGTTTGGGCATTTGTTTGCATATGTTATGTTTTTTTCATCAAAAATCCCTCTGTAGGGAGACACGCCCGACTTATTACACCTAGAGATCGGTCTGAACTGCTTAGAACCTCGACAGGAACTCGGGCGTCAGAGTCTCGGCGCTATGTTTTAGCCCTTCTGCAATGTCAGGGACAGCAGGCCCCCTGAGGAGCCCCTCGAACGGCGCGGGACTTCACAGCCCGATCCCGCTGCGCGGGAGACCGCCCCGGACGAAATAGCCGGGAGGTTTGCGGAAGCCAGTGGGAGCGACGGTCGAACCGAGGTAGAAGGTCGAGGTCGGTTCGGGGAGGGTGCCCTGATGTCCTTCGTGTTTGTTGGATGTTCTTGTGCATCTTGGGGGAGGGCCCGCTCGAATGATCTTCAGTTTTGGCCGGCGGAGGGCCTTGTGTCCTTGGAAGGTGTTTTTATGTATCTTAGGTCCAGCCGTACTACCCGTCCACAATCCGAAGCCTTCCAACGGAGGCCCGTAGCAACGTGGTCCCCAAGAGGTCTGGACCTCTTCCCGGGAACTCTTTTGGTTCCATCCCGAGTCTTCTCTGTCGCCCTCGCGTCTCGGCAAGGGGCGCCAGAGGCAGAGACGTGCCAAATGTGTTGCCCATCGGCATGTTTCAGGAGGGGGAAAAAAAAACACAGACACAAGTAATCGTCGATTCCCAGGAAAATATGTGAAAATATGGGAAGTGGGGGGGACAACAAAAACCCAGAAAATCTAGGAAAAGATGGTGAATCTGTTGATTTGTGTGCATTTATTGGTGTGTCCTGGGGCCCCTTCCATGTCTGCACGGCGCGAGAACCCCAGGGGCAGTCACCGGCTGTGGCCTCCCTTCCGACGTGCTGTTCCGCCTGCGGCCCCGGAGCGTCCGAGCCCCACACCCCGGGGTGTGCGTTTGCTGTCCCGGGTCCGTCTGTGGTGGCCCCGCAGGGGCCCAAGCACCAAGGGCTCCCTCGAGGGCGCGAAGTTATTCGCGCTTCGCGGTCCTCGTTCCTTCTCCCCCTCCTCCTCGTCCTCCTATTCTCCCTTTGGGAGGGCGGCGCGAGAGCGCGAAGTTATTCGCGCTTCGCGCATCGCGCATCGCGAAGCGCGAAGTTGGGAGCCCTAGAAGCACGGGCCCCCGAGGCCGACATCGGGGGAAACCGCCGGGACCGAGTCAAAATCCCATCGGCTGAGATTCGGCGCACTGTCATGAAGTCGGGCGTGCCCCTCCACAGGAGGAGCATCCCCAAAGAGTAAGAAGTAGTCTGGGGACGATTTGTTCATTAGGATGGACTGTTTTGGGATATTGTTTGGCTATCTCTAATTTTCCGTCCAAGCTCCACCTGTAGGGGGACACGCCCGATCTAAGACTATCACGGCCGCAGCCTGGGACCCCGTCTTTCTGCTGCATATCTCTAGCCGGATCGGTCTGTGATGGTCCCCAGGCCTGATCTTCGGCGAAATCTCCTGGTGCAGAAAAATTACAACGCCCAACATGAGATCCAGGCCTTGCATTTTTTTACAGCGGTCATTCTCGGCTGGTTTCGGCCCCAGGACCACCACGGATCGATCGGGTTGGAAGAAATGCCGCATAAATATTAGGTCTATTAGGCTCCAGTGTCGATGTTCGGCGGTCTTGCATGTTTTCTCAACGTCGGATCTCAGGATGATCCCAAGGTTCATCCATTGTAACCCCCCTTTCTTTTCTATAGGCCGCACAACTGGGATCCCAGCAGATGGGGTCGGAGGATTGCGCTGCATTGCCGATGCACCGGCGATGCGGCTCGATGTGGAGCCCGATTTTCTCCACTTTGACGTCGTCAATAAATGATGCATCGGCGATGCGATGCGTCCTTCTGACCCCATCTGCTCGAACCCCATGTGGCAGGCGTCTATCTATCAACTGTACCCCGCCCCCCCCGTCCGACCCTGGGGTCCACTATTCTTCTTGACGTCGTCCCCGGACTGGCCTGTCAGCCCGAGCCCGTTCCTTGACGGCCCGGAGGCCTTGCAAGGGCCCCCCCCCCCCCAGCGAAACACCTTCTCCGCCATGAGTTCGCCACGACGCGAGGGGCGCCTGGGCCTGTACGACCCCCCCTCCTTTTCTCCTCCGGCCCGGCCTTCGCGTCGCTCGCGGTCGCCGAGGCCGCCGACCTGGCGATGCAGCGCGCCGCGGGCGCCCGCGGGGCGCCCGCCGCGTGGAGCGGCCTCTGCCTCGGCGGCGGGGTGGCGAGCCTGGCGGGCTGGCTCCTCGTCGGAGGGGGGCCAGGGTGAGAGGCAGCGGCGGCCGTTCCCTCGAGTCGGGCGTGCCCCCCTACAGGGGGGGATCTTCGACGAAAGATAAGAGCATGCTTGAAAAAGATTCCCGAAGGGTCAGAAAATACTCGACGAATAGTTCCCAGACTATGTTTGGACCATATGTGAGTTTTCCTCCTGCAGAGGGACGCGCCCGACTTAACCGTCCCCTCGAGGGAAAAATATTGAAGGGAAGGGCACCCACCCAGACCCCGACACTTGGCGTTTACAAACGGCTTCGCTTGTCGGAATGACTAGTATTAAGTTGGGCCTGTCCCTCTACAGGGGGAACATTCAAAAATAGTCACACAAAACAAAAGTCCGGGGACGATGTTTCTAGCATTGTTTAACAATTTTTGAGTATTTGCTTTACTTTTTTTTTTAATCGTCGAAAATCCCCCTGTAGGGGGACAGGCCCGACCTAACACTTGGCGTTTACAAACGGCTTCGCTTGTCGGAGTGATTCGTATGGGGGTGTATTGCCTGCCTTCTACAGACATGGCAGAAACACAAACTTTCGACGGTCCCCGGAGCTGGAGCCCCCGCTGGCGTTGGATCGGCGCTGGAGCCCCCTGGCGGCGCTTCTGGCGCCGCCCTTGGCGCGCATCGCGCGCCAGGAAGGGGGTCCAGCGCCAGATCCGAGAAATCAGTGCGGACCGCCTGAAGTTCATGAGTATGTCATGTATTGTCCCTGGATTCCCTGACCCTGAGATCCTGGCGTTGTTGGCATTTTATTTGGACTCCGGAAAGTTTACTTACACGGAGGGAGAGGGAGGGGGACGGCGTGGCTTCACGCAAGTCCGTTTTCGACCCAGCGCTGCTTGGCAAGGCCTCAGCGGGGGGGGGGGGGGACATGCCATGCCACTAAACTTTCCTGGGTCTAAAGAAAACAGCCTCCCTGAGATCCGGGGGTTGCCAATTTTCACACCGGGCGTTTTCGCACAGTTGCGGGCCTTGGGACCACGGGTCGATCCGGCTCGAAATTCGCAGCAGAAAGATGAGGTTTAGTGTTCTGAACGATTGTTCGCGATGTTGCAATATTTGTTCGCAACGTCGGGTCTCAGATCGCAGGGGGTGTTTGGGCCTTGTTGGGGCCTCCTGAAGCGCCCTCGTCGCCACGGCCGGATCCGCCCCGAAATTTTGGCAGGAGAGCACGTCGGTACAGGTCTGGGCGATGTGGCCCCTTCCCACGGGCCCGTCTTTTCATGCTTTGTTCTGTTGGCATATTCCCAGGGCCCGGGGCCCCTTGAGGCCAAAGCTCTTGGCATCGCTCGGACGTGTGCATTTTGCCTTGGGCGAGGACCATCGAGGAGCATCCTGGATCATTTGGCGAAGAAGCCACGCACGAAACCGCAAAAAAAACAGGGAATGGACGTCCGAGCGATGGCGACTCCCAGGGCCCCCGGAGGCCAGGAGCTCGGCCAAGGCAACCCACCGTGATCTTCCCACGGCGCGAGCGCTGCCGCAGCGCGTGGGTGTCGGAGCTCCCGGAGGCCTCGCGTCGCCACGGCTGGAGCCGCCAAGACGGACCGTGGGATGCCGGAAGGGCCAGGGCCCCTTGGCATCGCTCGGACGTGTGCATTTTTTCTCGGCGAGAACCTTCGAGGACCATCCTGGACCATCGAGCAAAAAAAACACGCACAAAACCGAAAAGTGCACGGGAAATGGACGTCCGAGCGACGGCAAGGCCCAGTTTGAGTGGGCTTGGGCCAGGCTTATTTAGGTCGGGCGCGTCCCCCTACAGGCGGATTCTGGACGAAAAAATAAAGGAAAAAGTCTACAACTATTCCAAAAGGATCCCCACAAAAAAAGATACAAAAAAGCGTCCCCCGACTATTTGCTCACGGTTTTTGAATACAACTGCTGTAGAGGGACAGGCCCGACTTGAGGCCAGGCGGGAGCGCCGCCGTTGTTCCAGCCGGTGCTCCTCCGGCCCTCGCCCCGCCGACGCCAGCCGCGTACCTGCAGTGGGCAGGGGCGACGATGCCCTTCCTGTACTTCCTCCCCTGGTCTCTCCAGGCATCGAACAGAGGGCACGATTCTTCAAGTCGGGCGTGTCCTTCTACAAGGGGGATATTCAGAAACTCTCAAACAATATAGTACGAGGAATATGTTTCTGAGTATGTTTGAGTATCTCTTGTGTATGTTGTTGGCTACGTTTAATTTCTCGCCCCCAGTCCGCCCGTAGGGGGGCACGCCCGACTTACGGCAAGATGCACAAGGGTGAGCTTCTGGAGGTCCGCGCGAAGTTCCTGGATCTGCGCTGGAGCCCCCCTCACGGCGCCTCCGCGCCAGGGAGCAGGATAACTCCAGCGCTGGTCCACGCGGGCCTCCGAGGGTTTGTCGAGGCCTCCCAGCTGGGGTCCGAGCAGAAGGGTGTCGGAGGATGGCGCCGCATCGGTGATGCGGCTTGATGTGGAGCCCGAGTTCTCCTTGCCGACGTTGCCGATGCATTTGCCGATCTGTCGCAATCCTCCGACCCCGTCCACCATGAAACAAATGCGTTGCAGTGCAGCGTTAATTGGTTTTGGAATTATTTGCTGTAACGCGCGCTATAGGCAAATACAGCAATATTTGCGACTACTGCAGGTCCGCGCGCAGCAAGAATGCGATTATGGATCGAACCTACGTACCAGAGAGGACTTGAGTTGGAGATGGATTGCAAGTCAATTTCCAGAGTTATATTCCGAATCGTAGAACAAGAACATCGAGTCAGGCTTGCCAGAGGATTGCCAGGGCCACAGAGAAATATGATTGAGTTGGATAGGAATTCCAAACTTAGAAAGGAGCTGGAATCGCAGAGGATTTCGGATCAGATTTGCCACAGGATTACCGGGAGCAGAAAGAACGATAGAGTTGGAGAGGAGTGGGTAATTGAATGTCCATCCAGACTTCGCAAGGATTTTGAATCGATCGAGGCGGAATCGGAATCAGATTTGCCAGACGATGGCATGGGTCAGAGAGAAATGTTGAGTCGGAGAGGGGTTTTCAAGGTCATTTTCCAGAGTTGGAGAGGACTGTGTATCGCGGCGGAAACGGAATCAGACTCGCCCGATGATTGCCAGGGTCAGTAAGGAATATTATGTTGGAGAGGAGTTTGTATGTGAATGTTCAGAATCAGAAAGGATTTTAAATCGCGACGGATTTAGAAGCAGACTCGCCCGAAGATTGCCATGGCCAGGAAGAACTGTTGAGTTGGAAAGGAATTGCAATTGACTTCCCAGAGTTAGGATTTTGAATCGCGGCGGAATTTGAATCTGACTCGCCCGAGGATTGCCATGGCCAGGAATGTGTATTGAGTTGGAGGGGAATTGGTAATTTCATTTCCGGAGTTAAGATTTCGAATCGCGGCGGAATTGGAATCAGACTCGCCCGAGGATTGCCTGGGCCAGGGAGAATGTTCGATTTGGATGGGGATGTGTGATTGAATTTCCTGAAGTAGAAAAGATTATGATTCGCGGCGGGATTCCAATTTTAAGTTCCTCTCCAACTCCGGATTTCTCGCAGGACCCAGCCATCGTTTGGCAAGTCGGATTTCAATCCCGCCGCGATTCTAAATCCTGTCGAGCTCGAACAAATCAGTCGAACATTCTTATCCAATCCACTAATTCACATTGAACCCAATAATGCTTTGGCGGATGTGATTTGAACTTGTTATGCAAAATCCTTTTTACGAGGGGTCCGGGCAATTATGTGGCAATTCTGATTCGAATTCGTCTAACCAGAATTGAGAGTCCTGCGCAATTCTTCAAATGCTCCATAGTACGTCCTGGCCCTGGCACTCCTCGGGCGAATCTGAATTGTTACGCCGCGATTCGAAATCCTTTCTAACTCTGGAACTTGTATTGCACATACCCCTCCAACTCAATAGCTCTCGCTGGCCCTGGTAATCCCATGGCAATTCTGAGTCCAACTCTGCCGCGATTCAGGATCCCTTTTCACTCTGGAGATTTGGAAATGAAAATGCCAATTCCTTCTCCAACTCAAAAGTTCTCGCTGGCTGTGGCAATTTTCTGGCACTTCGGATTCCTGATTTATCTACTTGTCATAATCCTTTCTAACTCTGGAAATCCAATCGCAAATCCCTTTCCAATTCGAAATGTCTCCTTGGCCCTGGCATCTTCTGGCACATCTGAGTCCAATTCCGCCGCGATTCAGAATTTGTTCGAGCACTGGAAAGTAAAGTTGAAATTCCTCTCCAATTCAATAGTTCTCGCTGGCCCTGGCAATCCTGAGGGAATCCTTGTCATACTGAAAATTATATTGAATTTCCTTACAAACTCAATAGTTCTCGCTGGCCCTGGTAACCTTCTGGGATTTCAGAGTCCAATTCCGCCTTTTAAGAATTACATTGGATTCTAAGTTATAGTTCGTGGAATTCGAATCAGAATTTCCAGAGGACTGCCAGGGCCATATCTAGAGAGGATTTGGAAACGTAAGCGAATTCCAATCAGACCTGCCAAAGGATTATTGGGTCCAGGTTGGAAAGGACTTTGCGATACATTGTTTCGAGCAATATCTCAGAATAGCGGCGGAATTGATATTGTTTTGGCAACTTAATCATGTATACAAGTGTTTCCTAGCACCCGGACCCCAGCTGGGAGGCCGACGTTGTGCTCGTGCAAGCGTTTCTTCTCCCGAGGCCGCGAGGCACTGCCGGGGCGCCCGCGGGGCCGCATAGGCGCCGGCGGAGGCGTGCTGCAGTTGCAGCAGGCATGGGCGGCCATACCGTTTTCTCGGGGGGTGAGAAACCTTCGCACATCAGTATCGTTTGACCGATCCTTATTCCTGCGGGCAATAGTTATATCCGCATCCAGTGCGTCTTGGATTCCTGGGCTCTCTTCCCCAGAAACCGTAGACGCACTGGATACGGATAAAAATCTGGCCCCAAGAGGCTTGATTTTATCCATATCCAGTGCGCCTCGGCGTTGCGGCACCTCTTCCCAAAAAGTCCACGACGCTCTGGATATGGATATAAGTACTGCCCGCAATTCCCATCCCCATCCCGAGCCCAACCATCGGCGGAGGCCAAAGTCCACACGGAGTAACTCCGTACGGAGTGCTCGGTCTCCGTATGGAGCTACTCCGGTCTGGGCTGGACGTAGCCTCTCTTGGTAGGATGCTACGCCCATACGGAGCAGAGGAATACGAATTGCTCGGTCTCCGCTGGACTTATTCCATCTGGACTTAGCATCTCCTGATAGGAGGCTGAGTCCATACGGAGTAAGTCGATACGGAGTGCTCGGTATCCTTCTGGATTCACTCCGTCTGGACTTAGCCACCACCCCAGTTGGAGATATTCCCTTCGAGTCCCGAAGGGAGCAGCCGATGCCCACGTCTGGGAGGGTACACTGGCCAGTGGGGCCAGGGCCACGTCAGTGTGGACAGGGATCGGTCAAACGATACCCAACGATCATAAACCTTTAGAACTCCGCACGGATTTGTCGAATCCGAGCTGGGCCCTCTGGCGGCGCTTCTGGCGCTGCCCTTGCCCCACTGAGCGCGCCAAGGAGGGGATCCAAGAAATCCGCGCAGTCCTCCGACAGGTTGTGTGTTATGCTTACGTCGGGCCTCTACACGAGGATACTCAAAGATGGTCGAACACTCGTCTGCGGACGATGTTTCGAGCATTTTTCTACTATGTTTGAATAGTTTTAACAATTTTTAAAGTCTTCGTCCAGAATTCCGAGGCGGGAATTTATACATGACCACCGCCTGGAGGGTCAGTTTTCGGAGCCTCGGCAGGCGGTGGATATGGACATATTCGGGCCCCCAGGGGCCGAAATACATCCATATCCACCGCCCGCTGGGGCACCAGGGACGTCGGTTCCCAGGCGGTGGATATGGATAAATCCCCGCCTCGCAAACATCCCCTTGTAGGAGGACGTGCCCGACCTAAGCTTGTGCGGATGTTTCGCCTTCCATGCCTGCTCTTCCTGCCCCAGCCTTGCCTGGCTGCGAGAGGCGCTGCCGCCCCTGGGGGAGCGTGCGGGCGTGGCGCAGGTCTGCGTGCTGGCGTAGGCATCTCGGTGTCTTTTTAACCGATCCCCACCCCCATCCCCAGAGATCCAAAGTATTGAAAACATCAAAACGGATGTGTGTTTCGCCCTTTTCGGCCTCTAGGGGCCCTCGCCGGCCCCCAGGACCGTCAAAAAACGAGCCAGGATGAAAAACCGTTCCAGGGGAAGGGGTCGGGACCTCCAGGGACCCCGTATTGAATTATCCCAGTGCGACCCTACCTAGGAGTTGGAGCATTTAGGAAAGCAACATCTACATCTACACCGACAGCTACATGTACATCTACACCTGCATCTACATCTACATCAACATCAACAGCGAGACTCACATCTACACCTACATCTACACCTACGCTCGGCTGCGCTGTGTTGTGCTAGGCTATGATCTGCTATGATATGATGCGCTGTGCTATGCTATGATATGCCATGCTGCGCTATGCTATGCTTTGCTATGCTATGCTGCGCTATGCTATGCTAGGCTATGATATGAAATGCTATGCTGAGCGATGCTATGCAATGATATGCTAGGCTATGATATGCTATGCTGCGCTATGGCATGCTATGCTATGATATGTTATGCTGTGTTATGCTATGTTATGCTGCGCTGTGCTATGCCAAGCGATGATATGCTATGGTATGCGATGATATGCTATGAGATGCCGCGCTATGCTATGTTATGTTGTTGTATGCTACGATATGCTATGCTATGATATGCTGAGCTATGCAATGCTATGCTTGGCTATGCGATGCTATGCTATGCTATGCCATGCTGTGCTAATGCTGCGCTGCGCTATGATGCGCTTCGCTAAGCGAAGGTAAGTCCAGCTATGCTAAGCTAGGCTAGGCGAAGCTAAGCCAAGCCAAGCTAAGTTAAGCCAAGCTAAGCTAAGCTACGCTAAGATGAGACAAGCTAAGCTGAGCTGAGCTAAGCTAGGCTAGGCTAAGCTAAGCTAAGCTAAGCTAAGACGAGATAAGCTAAGCTAGGCTAAGCGAAGCTAAGCTTAGCTTAGCTTAGCTTAGCTTAGCTTAGCTTAGCTAAGCTGGGTGAACCCAGGGGGCGCAACTGGGGGAACCGCGGGGCGGGGACTGGGGGAACCGCCCGGGGCGCTTTCCACTGCCCGGCCCCTTTAAGCTAGAGAGTAAGAACCCTTCTAGGCAGAGCCTAGGTAGGGAAAAAGTCACGACGTCGGATCTTTGGGTCTCCATCCCCTTCGAGACCCCCACCAAGTTACCACTCCAGTTGGGGATACACCTCTCGAAACCCGAAGAGAACTACCTATATCCCCATCCAGGGGGGGAAATCGGCCAGTGGGGCCAAGGCCACGTCGCTGGAGATGGGGATCGGTTAAACGATACTCAGGCATGGGCACCTGCTGAGCCAGGGTGGCGTCGTCGTTGGCATCTGCTGCTCCCATCGGAGGCTGCTGGTCCGCTGGTCTACATTAGGTTCGCGTCGTGTCGGCCCTCGGCGACCCCGCCGCGGGCATTCCAGGTTGAACGCCGCCAGTGGCCCAGAAGCGACCGACATGGAACGATCGGGCGACCGAAAAGCCGCCGATCGTTTGAGTGTCAACGATCCACGCGGTGTCCAAAACCAACGCCACGGTCGTCACGGCACGAGCCTGCCGCACTCGGGGGCAACGTTGGTGGGTGGTGGGGCTCCACGTGGCTGCTGGACGCGGAGACGACGGCGGCAACGTCAGGGGGGGGAGCAGGCTCAGCGCTCGAGACTCGGGGGGTGGAGGTTCGCGGTCTTCGGGTGCTTTCGTCAGCCCTCGGCTTTTTCCAGCCTCGGGGTGTTCCAGTCGGGGCGATCGAAGTGGGTACGGACAGAATGGGTACGATGCCCAAGAGCACCTCCTGTTCGTTTTGAGCAGGCCTCGCTGTCCGCGCCGCCGCGGACGCTGCTCTCTGAAGACAGGAAGCCGCCTGCCCAACAGCGGCCGCTGCCGGTTTCGGACATCATGTGTCGTTGGGCACTGTACCCATGTTGTCAAGGGGGGAAGGAGGAGGAGGAGGAGGAGGAGGAGGAGGAGGAGGAGGAGGAGGAGCAGGAGGAGCAGGAGGAAATGCCCATTTCGGGCGTCCAAATCCAGCAGCTGCGCCTCTCGGAGGGCGTCCTGGGGTTGCCCGGATCGTCCCGATCGGCCGCCCGAGAGCCGAGCCATGGCCCGAATACCAGGGGACAACGCTGGGGAGGGACGGGACTCACGGGGGAAGGCTGGAGGGTTTCTCCTCCTTCTCCTCGTCCTCCTCCTCCTCCTCCTCCTCCTCCTCCTCCTCTCCTCCCTCCTTCTCTCCTCCTCTCCTCCTCCTCTCCTCCTCCTCTCCTCCTCCTCCTCCTCCTCCTCCTCCCTCCCTCCCTCCCTCCCTCCCTCCCTCCCTCCCTCCCTCCCTCCCTCCCTCCCTCCCCCTCCCTCCCTCCCTCCTCCCTCCTCCCTCCTCCCTCCTCCGTCCTCCCTCCTCCCTCCTCCTCCCTCCTCCTCCTCCCTCCCTCCCTCCCTCCCTCCCTCCCTCCCCCTCCCTCTCCCTCCCTCCCTCCCCTCCTCCCTCCCCCCCCCTCCCTCCTCTCCTCCTCTCCTCCTCCTCCCCCTCCTCCTCCTCCTCCTCCTCCCCTCCTCCTCCTCCTCCTCCTCCTCCTCCTCCTCCTCCTCCTCCTCCTCCTCCTCCTCCCCAGCGAGCCGGTTCGCCCCCTGACGTTGCCCTTCATCTACAGCTCGGCCCACTGCCCCCTCCCTCCTCTTCCTCCGCCTCCTCCCTCCTCCCTCCTCCTCCTCCGCTCCCTCCTCCTCCTCTTCTCTTCCTCCGCCTCCTTCCTCCTCCTCTCTCCTCTTCCTCCTCCCCCTGCTCCTTCTCCTCTCCTCCTCCTCCTCCTCCTCCTCCTCCTCCTCCTCCTCCTCCTCCCTCCTCCTCCTCTCCTCCGCCTCCTTCCTCCTTCTCTCCTCCTCCGCCTCCTTCCTCCTCCTCCTCCTCCTCCTCCTCCTCCTCCTCCTCCTCCTCCTCCTCCTCCTCCCCAGCGAGCCGGTTCGCCCCCTGACGTTGCCCTTCATCTACAGCTCGGCCCACTGCACCCACCAGAGCGGCGCGCCTAGGGGCCGGGGACATGGTCGGTTGGCGCCGCTGGCGCTGTGCAGGCCGGTCTGGCCGCAACAGGAGCAGCGCACATATCTTCGCAGCCGCTGCGAAGCTAGCCTCGTGCCATGCTCGTCTGAGCTCAGCACGTTGCGCTTGTGGCCAAAAATCGTACTCACGCTGTGGAGAGGCCTCTGCCTCTGCGCAGATGGCAGGTCTCGGGGCGGCACAGGAGCAGGAGGACCAAGTCCCTCCAAAGTCTTGGAAACAAAGATAAGACGGCAGTTTTCGGTTCTTTCTTTAAAATTGTGTTCACGCTGTTGTGGCCTCTGCCTCTGCGCAGAGGGCAGGTCTCGGGGCGGCACAGGAGCAGGAGGGCCAGAGTCTCGGAAGCAGAGGCAAGGCGGCAATTCTGCTTCCACGAGCTCGGCGTCTGGAGACCAGCATCGCTCGGCCACGCGCAGAGGGGGGCACAAAGGGGTGCTCCCGAGTTCTCTGGGGCCTCCCTGGGAAGCCCGTGGCCACCTCGGGGGCCAGGGCCACCTCTGGCCACACCCGGCCAGGGGAGGGCTGTCGAGAGCTCCCCGGGGCCTTCCGCGCACGGAGGAGGTCGAGGGATCGGAGGCCTCGGCGGCTGCTTCGTGGCCGTCGCTCGACCAGCTGTGGCGCTGCGCCAGCGATGGCAAGACAGACGCCAAGCTTGTTTCCTCCCCGTCCCCCTCCCCCCGGCGATTCACGGGCGCACGCCTCTCATCCCACCACGCTCGTCCTTCCCGAGGGCTCCCGGGTGGCTTCTCTCGGGATCATTTTGGGGGCTCTCTCGTGAGCCTCTTGGGGGCCCGTCTCCCGCCACCCTCCCCCTCCTCATCCTATCTCCCCCTCCCCCTCCTTCCCTCATTCGTCTGTCAGGAGAGGGCTCGCCAAAGCGCTGCTGAACAACTCCATGGAGCACATCAACAAGACGCTACGCCCGCCGAGAAAGTTCGGTGGAGGGTTCAGGAGAAAATGGCACGGGAACACGATGAGTAGAGGAGGACTAGGAGGAGGCGGGTGAGGAGGGATGGGTTTAAGAGTGTTATCAATGGTGTCCACGGTTGGGTTGGTTCGGTTGCGTCGCAGTCGGTTGCGTTCGGTCGGTGTGGTGCGGTCGGTTGTGGCGTCGTTGGTGCGTCGTTACGTCATTCACAGTTGCGTCCGCTCGACTTGGTTTCGGTCTATTTCGATTTCGCTGTCGGTTCGGTTTGTTTGTCGCCGTGGACGGTCTTAGCTCTAGGCGGTTTCTCGGGTGTTCTAGGGGGCCTCTGGGGTTTGGTGGGTCCCAGGGGGCGAAGGGGGATAGGGGTGTTGAGGAGTGGTGGGTGGGGATGAGGATGATGAGTTAATGGCAGGATGATGATCTCTGAGAGGAGGAGGATGAGGAGGACGGGGAAGAAGAAGCAGTGGAGCAAGCAGTGGAGACGCGGGCATGCTCCAACCGATGACTTCTAGGAGAAAGCGGTCGGACCAGCCGTCAGATGAAAGGGATGAGGATGTGGCCTGCTCAGTACGCTTAAATTGGGCACGTCCCTCTACAGGAGGAATGTTTATAAATAGTCAAACCATAGTCTGGGGACGTTTTTACTAATATGTTCCGAGGATGTTGGAGCATGTATGGGGTATCTATTATTTGTCATCTAAAATCCTCCCGTAGGGTGACATGCCCGACCTAGCAGTACGCGCGATTCCCCCCTTCCCTTTACCGTCCCGGCATTTTGCACCCACCCTCCTCCCCCTGCCCTTGCCCTATCCCCCCCGCCTCCCCGTCCCTGCCTCACTCTTGCTTCCACCCCCCCCTTTCTCTGAGAGAGAGGAGGAGGAGGAGGAGGAGGAGGAGGAGGAGGAGGAGGGGGAGGAGGAGGAGGAGGAGGAGGAGGAGGAGGAGGAGGAGGAGGAAGAGGAGGAAGAGGAGGAGGAGGAGGAGGAGGAGGATCCAGCCATGGCTGGACGCTTCCATGATTTCGCTAATACGCATTCCGGGTTGGAGCATTCACCCTACCAGCGTGCATGGGGTACACGTGAACTTCTTTTGTTTGGGCATGCCACCTTTGGGCTGTGACATTCGGCTGGCCACGCATGGCCCTACGCTGCGCAGAGAGAAAGTCAGAGAAAGAGAGAGAGAGAGAGTGAGAGAGAGAGAGAGAAGAGAGAGAAGAGAAGATACTATAATACCACATACTACATTAAAAGAGACTATAAGAGAAGAGAATATAATATCATAGAGAGGGTGAGAGATAAACAACAAAACAACAATCTAAGCATATACATAAAACAGTTTATACTGAGAGAGAGAGAGAGGGAGAGAGAATTGAGAGAGAGAGAGAGAGCGCGAGAGAGAGGGTGAGGGAGAGATACAGAGAGGGAGGGACCTTCCCCTCGGCTGGGGCCGACGCACAGCACCCCTCGCTGCCAGCAGAGAGCGCGAGAGCGCGAGAGAGAGAGCAAAGCGAGCCACGCGCTCGCGCGGCGTCGCGAGGAACATGCCCCACGTCAAGGCGGTATATCTGCACGTTGTCACCTACAACGACCCGCCGCCAGCCTGCCATCATCAGATCTCCTCCTCGTCATCCTCACCATCATTCCCACACCTCCTCGCGCTGTGAAAAAAAACACGACGGGAGGTTTTTCACCATCTTCATCCTCCAGGGGCCCTTTCCGGGCCGTGGGACCGTCGAAAGACGACTCAGGACGAAAAACCGGTCCCGGGGAAGGGGTCCAGACTTCCGGGGGTCGACGTTGTGAAAAAATCACGACGTCGGGGGTCTGGGTTCTCGTCACCGTCACCGTCGTGGTCCTCCACCTCGCCATCCTCGTATCATCCTCGTCCGCAGCGTCCTCCCAATCCTCCTCCTGGACCTCGTCCCTTCCCCGGTTCGCCATCGGAATTGGGAGCACCGGCACAGGTCTGAACTGACTGCACCCTGAGCGTCCTAGACCCTAATTAATCTTTTGAATTCGTCAAATATGTTCGGTGCTTCAGCTAAAAGCTTAACCAGTATGACTACTCTACCTTTAGCTCCCCTGGCAACTGCAACCCGTATAGCCCGTTTGGCTCTTCTGATTCCTCGTTCTTTGTCAACGTTGATTTTCTTTTTCGTTTGTTCGAGCCGTCTTCTACGGTACAACTTTCACATGCGCTATTTCTCCAAATCGTCCGAGCACTATGATAACCGTACTGGGTTCGATTTGTATGGCTTTGCGTCTAGCTTTCAGTCGGGCATGTCTCTCTACATGCGGAGTATACAGAAATATTCAACAAATAGTCTGGGGATGATTTGTTGACCATGTTTGGACTATTCTTGAATATTTTCTGACTATTTTATATACCTTCCAAAATCCGCCCGTAGGAGGACATGCCCGACCTAAGTCCACCTATCCCATTATGAATCCAACAATGGAGTACGCACCGGACATCCGTGACACAAGCACACGGGACAACCACGCGGCCACCGCACGACAACCACAGCACAGCCGCACGTGAAAGGATCCCGACAACCGCAGGGGCCATTCGCAGGACAATTTTCTGGCCACCTGATTATTCTCATCCGTCTGCGGTTGCAGTGGAGGCCAATCCACAGGATTTTGTCACAATAAACCCAACTTTGAGATCTAAGAACGTCCATGGATGTTTGGTGTGGGCACGTCACGCGTGCCATCGTAAAACCATCGAAACCCAAGACCCAGGGCACCCTGGAGGCGAGCATGGTGTTTCTTGGCATGGGCCCCCACTGTAACCTTTCTAATTGGTCGAACCAGTTCGATCATTTTAACTCCTCTACTTCGTCTCGGTGTTCCCACTATGTCAGTCACTCTATCCTTGAAGCATGAAGCATATGTCTTGATTGACTGCTTCGCTCACTCCGTTGGCCCATATTGTATCATTGGTGCTCGTGGCGAGCGAGAAGGAGGAGGAAGAGGAGGAGGATAGGGCGCAGGAAGATAGGAGGATGAGGATGAGGCATCTCGATGGCTTCTTGGGGCATTATTGGGGCCAAACTGGGTCGTGGATAAGATACATGGAACAACTATTCGGGATGACAAGCCAGTCCCCAAGAAGGGGCCCAGAGCTTCTAAGAGCCACGCTGCGGTGATCAAAAATCACGGTGCGGTGGCGGTCGTCCCTTGGCGCAGGTCACAACAGGATCCCCGTGTCCACCCATACCATTCCAGAGCAAAGGGGCGGTTCTGGAAGATGGCGTGCAAGAGGAGTAGGAGTTGGAGGAGGGGGGTAACGGGTGAAGGAAAATGCTTGAAAGGGAGGATGACGAGGATGATATGGATATCTCCCACCTCCTCCACTTCCTCATCACCGTCCTCACCTCTTCCCCCTCTCCTGCGAGGAGGAGGCGGATCTAGGAGAGGTTCCACAGGGGAGTGCAAGGGGGGGGTTGTTGAAGGCGCCTGGGGCACCGCCCGAAGGATCAGTGGGAGCAGCTACAGCAGAAGGACGGGGAGGGGGGAATAAGAGGAAGACCGTCCTGAACTTGGGCTTGGATGGGGGAGGCAACGATTCAGGCGATCGCAAACATGGATTAGACGGGCGTGGATTAGCGACGGTTCCCGATTCCATGGGGAATCGCGGATTTCCGCCGCCGAGCGAGGCGGCACCGGCTGTATTTTGGGGAGGGTAGCTCCCCCGATCCATGGATTTGGCGACCGCGCGCCAAATCCATGGATCGCTCATCCGTGTTTGCGCACCCCCGAAGGATGAGAGAAGCAAGCGGAGGGGAGAGGAGGCTTTCCGCATGCGCTCGCCAACCTTGGGGGAGGGGCGCTCGAGATTCCTGTTTTGGGGCTTGTCAGCCTAGAATGATTTCGGTTGGGGCTTGGTTCAGAGACAGGCGTGCTAAGCCTTGCTTGAGTGGACCGCTTCTGCGGCATTTGTCAGACAAGGAGAAAGATACCGACACCAGCTGCCCTTTCCTCGTCGCGGCGGCTGGATTCGTTATGAGATTCTGGTCAGAAGGCACCACTGGAGAGGTCTGGGGAGTAGTGGTATCGGTGCCGTTCCCCCCGCCCAGAGCTCGCCCGGAGCAGCAGCAGTATGCGCGCCGATGACCCCGACGACAGTGTTTGCCCAGAGGACGCAGCGATCGCCTTGTACGAGTCGATGCAGTTCCGACGCATCGCGAAGTTCGATAAGTGCGCCCGCTCCATCGCCGCTTTTTGCTGCTTGCCCCTGCGTGCCGTCCATTCCTCCCCGCCGCCGGTCCGCCATCCCGCCGCCACCCAGCTCGCCATCCCTTGCTGCCTGCTGCTCTCCCTCAGAGCCTCCACTTCGCATGAGGAGCAATCGGTCTTGAAATCAGGTGGTTCGAGAGTATTTCTTGACCCTCTGGGCCATAGCGCGTTATGCTCCCCCCTTCCCCCGCCCTAACGTAATGCTCCCCCCCTCGAGTGCGTCCCCTGCTTTGCCGCAGTGCGTCTGGCACAACAGTCTTTGACGGTGGTGGGCGGGAGTGTTACGTCATGCCTCCCCCCAACGCCCCCCTTCCCCCCTTCCCATGACGCCCCTTCTCGCCGCGATTAAAAATGCTCTCTTCGAAGGAGGGCGTGTGATCTTTCCCCGAACAGTGCATGCACTTCAGCGTTCTCACTTTTCCTACCTGCGTAATCTGGTGGGCATGCCGGATGTTTTCCCACGCTGGCGCTTCGTGTTAAGTCGGGTTCGTCCCTCTACAAATCGTCAAAAAGAAGTCTGGGGAGGATGTTTTGACCATTTCTGACTGTTCTTGAATATTTTTGAGTCTATCCTAATTTTCGCCCAACATCCGCCTGTAGAGGGACATGCTCGATCTAAGCCTCGATCATGGTGTCTTGTTGGCGTGCGCACAGCATGCAGAATACCAGCACCCCCGCAGTCCCTGTCACAAACCAGCGGACATTGATCGCGGGGCGGGCGCGCATGATCCAGATTCAGCCGCGTAATGCATGTTGTACTGTTTTTTGACAGATGGTGGCCCTGCGCAGCAGGCAATTTGCTGGCACCCCCGCCGTCCCAAGTGCTCGCGGGGCCCACAAGCATGACCCAAGAGTTTACCCTAATTTATCCGAGTGAGGGGGCTGAACCGAACGGTCATTCACTGTCCCTGGGTGCGTGGCTGAAGTGGAATTCCGCGATACGGATTTGTGCTGTTGTTGTTGCTGCTGTTGCTGCTGCTGTTGCTGTTGTTGTTGTTGTTGTTGTTGTTGTTGTTGTTGTTGATGTTTATGTTGTTTCTGTTGTTGTTGGTCGTTGTCGTTTTTGTTGTTTGTTTGTTGTTGGTTGTTTGTTGTTTGCTGCTTGTTGTTTGTTGTTGTCGTCGTCCTACCCGCGACCCGCCCCGCGACACACCCGCGACCCACCCGGCGACCCACCCCGCGACCCACTCGCGAACCACCCTGCGAACCACCCGCGACCCACCCCGCGACCCACCCGCGACCCACCCACGACCCACCCGCGACCCACCCGCCGCGACCCACCCCGCGACCCGCCCGCGACCCACCCCAAATCCCCCGGCGACCCACCCGCGACCCACCGGCAACCCACCCGCGACCCACCCGCGACCCACCCCGCGACCCACCCGCGACCCACCCGCGACCCACCCGCAACCCACCGCGACCCACCCGCGACCCACCCGCGACCCACCCCGCGACCCACCCGAAATGTTCGGCGTTTGCGGCGGGTTTCCGCGACCCACCCAACATTTTCGGCGCCTGCGGCGAGCTTCTTGTGCATCCGTTCCAGGTGGAGAACCTGGCACCCACCCGCGACCCAAACAGCGTTCAGTGTACGAATCCAAATTTTCGGTGCCTGCGGCGGGCTGTCTTTGAATTCCTTCAAGGTGGAGGTGGAGAGCCCGCGACCCACCCGCGACCCACATTACGTTTACTGAACAAGCAAAAACTTCGGCGCCTGCGGCTGGCTTTGTGCATTCGTTCCAGGTGGAGAACCTGCGACCCACCCGCGACCCAAACCGCGTTTAATGTACAAGTCAAAATGTTCGGCGCCTGTGGCGGGCTGTTTTTGAATTCCTTCAAGGTGACGGTGGAGAGCCCGCGACCCACCCGCGACCCAAAGTACGTTCACTGAACAAACCAAAATTTCGGCGCTTGCGGCGAGTTTCCTTTGCATTCGTTCCAGGTGGAGAACCTGCGACCCAAACTGCGTTCAGTGTACAAATCCAAAGTTTCGGCGCCTGCGGCGGGCTGTTTTTGAATTCCTTCCAGGTGGAGGTGGAGAGCCCGCGGCTCACCCGCGACCCACACTACGTTTACTGAACAAGCCAAAACTTCGGCGCCTGCGGCGGGTTTGTTGTGCATTCGTTCCAAAGGGAGGAGGAAAAGGAGGAAAAGGAGGAGGAGGGGGGGGAGGAGGAGGAAGAGGAGGAGGAGGAGGACAACGAGGAGGAGGAGGAGTAGGAGGAGGAGGAGGAGGAGGAGGAGGAACAGGAGGGAAAGGAGGAAGAGGAGGAGGAGGTGGAGGAGGAGGAGGAGGAGGAGGAGGAGGAGGCGGACGACGACGACGACGATGATGAGGACGAGGACGCGGACGAGGAAGAGGAGGAGGAGGAGGAGGAGGAGGAGGAGGAGGAGAAGGGCGCCATCAACAGGGAAGGTGAGGGCCTCGAGGTCCGCCGGCTCGACCCCCGCGTCGCCCGCGCCTGCCCCTCACTCTTGTCCGCAATTGCGGGGTCCTACGTATACGTTCATTATTCTTTGTTGTAAAGGATTGTGCGGGGGGGGTCATGGGTGCTCGCATGGGTTCGGGTTGGCTGCCTGTCGCCTGGGGGAGGTGGGTTCTTTTCAGGGGGCAGTGATTAACCCCTCCCCGAAGGGGAAGAAAGGGGTTGTGGAAGAGGAAAGAATCGGCGGCGAGCGAGGGTTGGGAAGTGAGAAGGAGCGGGATTTCTCAGAAGGCTAGGAAGTCCCCCAGCATCCTGAGAAGTTTCCTAAGCCTTCCCCGAAGACAGAAAACTTGTCAGAAGGCGAAAGGGCGCCTGAGAAAGCCCGCCGCCTTCTGAGAAGGCCTTCTCATTTCCCACCCCGCCCGCCGCCGATCTAAAGAACTCGTTAGGCCACCTACGCCCACCGATTGCAGGCCGCTTTTTGTATTTTTCCGACGAGTGTGTTCGTTCATGACGCAGTCGATGGTTCGCCACGAAAGCGGGTCCTGGTGTGTGTTCGTCGTCTTTGGCCTCCTGGGGTCTTCCACGGGCCCCGCCCCATGGGTAGCGCAACCCATTGTCGGCGACTGCGAAGGGCGCGGCTACGCCAGGGTGTGGTTTGCGAACGGCGCCGTGGGGGCCTGGAGGGCACGACGCTGTCCTCGTCGGGCCTCCTCGGGCGCGGCGGAGAACTCTATCGAGGCACCCGCCCGCCCCCCATGGTGCCCCCCAAGGTGCCGATTGCAAACCACACCCTTTGCAAACGGCACCCTTTGGAGTCGCCGACATTGGCCCATGACGCTTCTCGCTTCCTCCTGGTCGCGCATTCCCCAGCAAGCTCTACGGGGCGACGTCCGGTTCGTGCTCGGGGCTCAATCGGCTAGGGTAAGTGCGCGTCGTGTCGACGCGGCAGCGGTCCCGGCGCAGACGCTCAAGTTTGCAAGCGGCCAGTGGCCAGGAAACGTGCAGTGTCGGAACGCCGCAGTGTCGAGCGATCCGTGAGATGGCAGAAACCAGCACGCAAGTCATCGCGACTTGAATTTGCCGTACGTCTGCGTTTATTTATTACTCTGGGTTGCGCAAGGCGTGCACACTCGGAGATGATAGTGTCGGCCGCTGCCCAATTCAAGCTAGCACGGCACCATTAGTCATGTGTTGCGTCTGTTTGATGAGTCTGTCAGATCGGTGGCGCTTGATTCAATATTGTCCATTGTTGCAGCTTGCGGTGCCTGCTGACTATTGCGAACGAAGGTGTTTCGGTTTGTGCGTTATTAGGTTGCCTGCATGCTGATTTGGTAGACGCAGATGGTGGGGAAGTATGGTATCGGGCATGTCTTTGCATCAGAGAAGACACGTGGTGGGCCTTGGTGGTTCAATGTTTGGGCCGCTATCTTCTTTCAAAGGAAGCGCATTCCTCACCCATCGGCCGCGCGTGTCACAGATCACCTGCGACCTCTGCCTTCCCCGCTTCCCCGTCTCCTCCCCTCTGCCCCCCGCTCGCCCCCCTCGTGTTCTCCCCCGTACCAATCCCCCCCCATCCACCGTTCGCCCATTCCCTTGCCCTCTCCCCTGCCTCGCCCTGGCTGGACGCGCGGGGCATGACGCGGCTCGCCGAGGTTCTATCGCGCTTGCCAGCGTGGCGCATTCTTCCGTGCTGCGCTCCGATTGGCACGCACCGCGCCGAGGTTTTACCAGTTGCACGGGAAGCCGTACGATTCGTTTTTGTACGCAAGATATGTGCACAGTGGGCGTCCGCCCTGGTCCTGGCGATTGAGGAACGCCCCGCTTGCCCAGTCTTGGTCAGAGTTTTGTCACACGATCCACGGTAGGGAGGAGTTGTTCCACCCGTGCGAGTTTTGTCAATCATTGGTTCCGAATCAGTTCCAGCTCAAATGCACTGACTGGCTGGGCCCCCGATCTCCTCCCCTTCCACCAGGACACATGGAACACCACGGTCGCTTGTGGACCTGTTTTCAGGCGTACGGCGGCGACCTCTGGGCGAGCAGCCCTGAGTCTGGCACAGTCCAACCCAGTCCAGTCTAACCCAGTCCAGTCCAAGCCTTCCCAGCCTGCGCCACCCCAGTCCAGACCACTCCAGCAAGTTTCATTCTAACCCTAGTCAGTACAGTATAGCCCATGCCAGTCTGATCCAGGTCGTTCAAGACGCGGTAGGTCAAGTCAAGTCTAGTCCGTCCAGCCAGTTCCCTTCGAGACCATACCAGTCCAGGCCAATGCAGGCAAGCACGGTCCAGCTCACGGCCAGTCGAGTCCAGTCCAGATGATTTCGCAATCCCGCGCAGCGTGGTCCAGCCCAGCCCAGACCGTAACAGTCCCGCCTGGTTTATGTCCAGTCTGGTCATGCCAAGTCCAGCCCAGAACTGTCCAGTCAGCCCAAGCCGATCCAGTCGAGCCAAGTCCTGTCTGGCCATTGTTGTCCAATCCAGCCATGTCTGGCCCAGACTTGTCCTCACCAGCTCGGCGCAGTCCTGTCCAGTCAGTCCTGGCCAGTCCAGTCGAGCCAGGTGAGCCCATCGATCACGGTGCAGTCCCCGTCCAGTCGGCCCAGTGTTGCCAGTATAGTGCAGCCGGCCCAGTCAGTGCAGCCCAGTCGTGCCCCATCCAATCAGTCCACTCCAATCCTGGCCAGTCCACCCCAGTTCATCCCAACAGATGCGTCTCGCACGCGTGTTTCGGTATTACGGATAGTAGCTTGTAGTTGTTGCCCTTGCGGCCACATGCAGATGCAGCGCCAGAGTTTTAGATGCAAGCTTGATGCTTGGCAGAGTAAAGAGCCAAAGAAGCCAGCCCTGAACAATATGAGTGTGTTCCGTTGGAGTACAGGCCGGCGGGAGAATTGCCATGAATATGCGACTACACGAGACAGCAGGGGTGCTCAAATCCCAAGCGATTGATTACGGGCACGGATTTTGCAAGGGCCTGGCCACGCAGCGACAGGCAGTTTCGCTGGCGACGGGGTGGCGACGCCCAGTCGCAGATGTGGTGGTTGTCTTGCGTTCCGCCTGAACGAGTGCGGAAGCACAAAGACACGCGGAGTTTGTCCGTTCATTATGTACGTGTCACTAGGCACCGTTCTTGACGACGCTTGGGTATTTAATTCAAGTGACCAAGGACGCAATTCAACGCCTTTGCTCGTGGACCGTGACTGACTGCTTCTCTTACCAGCATGTCCTGTAGTGTAGAAGCGTTTCTACTAGCCCCTTCTACGCACATGAGCACGTGGGCTGACAGTTGGTTTGCTGGAGGCTGGCCGCACAATGTGGTTGATTGAGCGTATTGTATGTTACGGTTGCAGTCTTTGTTCTGTCATTTGGGCGAGTGTGCAGATTGATAGTGGCCGTCACCGCATGTACATGTCTTGGTGTGTTTTCGTGGCACAAGCGCTCAACGAGTCATTGAACCAGTTGTCATGCGATCTTCCAGGTCGGTCGGAGGGCGTGCGAGCATTGAAGGATCAAGTGGCTAGAGACTCCGCCCGGCATGGCTTTCGAAAGAGCATACCATGCTCAGCTCAAGCACGTCTTGCACAGAGAGTGTAAGCGAGCGGCCAAGAAAACTGCCGCCGCTCATGCTTCTGAACTTGCTGTTCTACCCTTTTTGGAGTGTGCAGCGGCCGAACGCTCACAGACGGCGGCGCTCTGCTGGTGCTTCTGTGGGGTGGGACGCAGGAGATCACAACCCACCAAACCACCCCAACCCAACCCGAAGGCCTCAATTTGCCCTCCCAGTGGGGGTGGTCGGGGAACGTTGAGAAAACGCATGTGGAACCCGTACCTAGAGGGCAGAACATCCAGCCCGATGATAACCACCCCGACGCGAAGCCGTTTAGTAAGTACACCCAAAGAAGGGATCAAACAGGGCAAGGCTGTTGAGTAAACGCCCAGGGCCGTTTAGTAAACGCCAATTGTCCGGTCCGGGTGGTTTTTCTTCCCTTGATTGAGTACCCCCCCCCAAAACCCGAAATGGGGGCCTTCGGTTGGGTTGGGGAGTCTGGTAGGCAGGGAGGGGGGCCGCTGGTGGCAGGGGGCGAGGGGCCGCCAGGATGCGAAACGATCGGAGGAGGACACATACGGGCTATGCGCAAGAGTGGCCCTTCGCAGGAGGGAGCCTTGGTTCGGGCCGAACGACAGGGGGGGATAGGGAAAGGGAGGCTTACGAAACCTGCTGCATGCAGCCGGTTTCGGCCCCGCCGCGGGACCCATGCCTCGATACATGGGCGCCTCCCGGCGCCGGGAGGCGCTGGGAAAATCAGCTACGTGAGCTGGTTCTCTACCCTGCCCTTTGCTATCCCCCCATTGCGTTCTCCCCGATAGGTGCTGGCCCACGTGTCGCAGGCGACGTCTCGCCCCCAGCCTCCGACTCCTCGACACATCGAGCCTCCCAGGAGGCGAGGGAGGCTCGGGGCCACACCCCGCCGAGGACAGACGCCCCCGGATCGTATGCCCCCGAGCTGGGCCTCAAGTGCTCGGCCCACTCGAGGACCGCACGACGTCGGGGACAGGGGTCAGGAGGGGAAAAAACGCACAGACACAATTCATCGCCCATTCCCCCGAACATATGGGAAAAGATGGGAGGTGGGGGGGAAGACGAACACCCAGAACATATGGGAAAATATGGAGAGTCTTTTTGTTTGTGTGTATTTATTTGCGTGTCCTGGGGCCCCTTCAAGGGGGGTCGTCGTGTCCCCTGTCGACGGGGGTCCCCCCTGCTGGCGGTGGCGTGCGCGCTCGGCCTCCGCGCCCCCCCCCCCCCCTGCGCTCCCCCCCCGAGAGCCGCGCGCCGGGAGGGTCACGCTTGCCCAGGGCCACTGCCTGCGAGCAGCAGAGGCTCGACGGTTCCGCCTCGGCTCCTCCCTCCTCCCCCTCTTCATCTCCCCTGGAGGAGACATCTCCCCTGGAGGAGAGAAAACCCACACACACAAACATAATCTACGAACACCAGGGAAATATATGGGAAGTGGAGGGGAAGACACACCATCCGGAAGCACGGAACAGATGGAGGACCCTTGGATCTGTATCTATGTATTTGTGTGCCCTTGGGCCCCTCCAAGATTGAGGAAGGAGGCGAGCGCAGCGGCCGCAGGAACTTGGTCTCCATTGGCTTCACCGCCGCGATCAGGCCTGCCCGCGTGCGCTTCTGGGGAGGGCGTATTTTCCAGGACTTCCGCGCAGCAGCTCCTGTAGCGCTTACGCTGCCCTGGCTGGTGAGACTGTCCCATGCACTCATCCCGCCTGCCACCCTCACCGCGCCTGAAAGGATGTGCAACCTTCCCAAGAATTATGATGTTCCAACCTGCTGCTTTAGCCTTGATCGCCAGTTCGAGCACCAAAAAAGTACCGAAATTCAAGGGTTTTCACGTGTCGGGCCCTGGGAGACACTCGCCCGACACTGTTTCGACAGTCGGTCTATACTCTTTCGACACTTTTCCGTGTGCTCGAAATTATTTCTGGAATACGGGAGCAAGATGACCCAAGGGTGCCCTTGCATCTTTGCCCCTTCGGCCCATCCTCGGCCGCTTTCGCTGGCCGCGCCCCGCTCGCAGAGTGCCGGCATGACCCTCCAGGGCCCCTCTTGCATCCTCTTCGCGCGTCCTCATTCTGCGGGCTGACTGCGGTGACGCCCCCCTGACCCTGAGGGCGCACAGGACGACAGGCGCCCGAACGGGAGGAAAAGCGTCAGGAATGACGCGCGCGCCTCCACTGGGAAGAGGGGGGGGGCCGCGGGGGGGCAGAGGGAGGGGACCCGACCTGGGCGGGGCCCGCTGTGGCACTTGCCTCCCCTTGATGATATTCCAACCCACTGTTCCTCCTCCTCCTCCTCCTGCTCCTCCTCCTCCTCTCCTCATATAACCCTGTCCACCAGAAAGAATTTCAAACACCAAGAAAGCACCAGAAATGAAGGTTTTCACGTGCCTGGCCACGGGGGGCAACTGCTCGCTACAATTTGCTGGCGCGTCGGGTAGGCACCGTTCTCGATGCGTTCCTGGGTGCTCGGCATCATTTCTGGGATGTGTTCTTCAGTACGAGGGAAACAACATAAGCCTCCTCTCGAAGACGGAGAAACGGTATCAACATGAATTGTCGGCTCTCCGCACGGATTGTTTGGATCGGCGCTTGGGCCGCCCCGGCGGCGCCTTCGGCGCCGCCCTTTGCGCGGTCCGCGCGCCAGGGAAAGGGATCCAGCGCGAGTCCAGGAAATCCGCGCGGAGCTCCAGCAGGTTATACTCATGCAGTGTTTGTTGTTCCTATGTTGGCATCCTCGCCTCGTGGCAGCTGTAGGGAGAGGACCTGGCCTGGCCGCGACACGTGCATCAGTCCTTGACGTGCTTGCGCCGTGGCACGACAAACTGCATGTTTTCTGGAGGGGTTCGGACGTTGTATCGGTTCTCGGAGGTGTTCTCGACGCTCGGAGGTTTGGAGGCTGGCACCAACAGAAGTAAAGGGCGGTTGCATCCACCGGAACACGATGATTCCGATCTCGGGGATGGTGGCAACCGGGGGCAACGATAGGGGGGGATAGGCAAAGGGGGGGATGCATCGACCCCCAATCACCCACTGATCGCCGATAGTGGTCTGATAACCCCAACCCGCCGAGGAAGGTGCGGATTCACTATCGGGGGCCTGTTGCCGATCTCTCGGCGATGTATCGCCGACCCTGTCTCGATGCTTCCCCCATTGAGCTGGCCCCCCCCTGCGGCGGGGGCGCTCGTTAGGGAATGTGCCTAAGATGCTTCAGACCTGGGAGGGTTCCTTATCTATTAGGGCGGCGGTGACAGACGTATCGTGTTCAAAACGTAAGTGCTAACACGTTGCGTATTGGTTCGCAGCGTGTGTTGGTCCACGTTGCGGCGTCCGTGTTGTGTCGTGCCCAGGTCGACGCATCCCCCCCTGTGCATATCCTCCCCTATCGTTGATGGGTCTTTCTTCCACCACCACCACCACCACCACCATAAGTTGGAGGGGCGAAGGAGGTGGAAGACGAGGAGGAGGATCAGGAAGAGGAAGAGGAGGAGGAGGGGGAGGAGGATGAGGAGGAGGAGGACAAGGAGGAGGAGGAGGAGGACGAGGTGGAGGAGGAGGACGAGGTGGAGGAGGAGGACGAGATGGAGGAGGTGGAGGAGGAGGAGGAGGAGGAGGACCCCATCCCCCTCCAACTGATGGTGGTGGTGGTGGAAGTGGTGGTGGTGGAAAAGAGGCCCATCAATCGGTGTTCCTCCAGCCCTCTTAGGTGGCCGGGCGATTGGCACCGGCACCCAGATCCAGGAGCAGCTCCCCCCCAAGCCTTCGGTTTAAGTCGGGCGTGTCCCTCTACAGGGGGAACATTCAACAATAGTGCAAAAATGCTCTGGGGACGATTCTTTTTAGTATTTTTTGTTATTCTTGAGCATTTTGGGGGCATTTTTCATTTTTCGCCCAAAATCCGCCTTCAGGGGGACATGCCCGAGCTAACCTTAGGTCGGGCATGTCCCCTTGCAGGGGCATTTTGGATGAGAATCAGAATGTGCAAAAACAGGCGAAGAATGGTTGAAGGATCGTCTCCAGACTATTGGAGAGGCCTGACGGCCGGTGCCGCCGACCCTGATCCAAAGGGCTAGGAGTGGGGGGAGGAGGAGGAGGAGGAGGGAGGAGGAGGAGGAGGAGGAGGAGGAGGAGGAGGAGGAGGAGGAGGAGCAGGAGGAGAGAGGAGGAGGAGGAGGAGGAGGAGGAGGAGGAGGAGGCGGAGGGAGGAGGAGGAGGAAGTGCATCCTTTGTTTGCCCGCTCGAAGAAAGTGCGCCCCGGGAGTGTGATATTCTGACTTGGGTCGTGCTCCCGGAAGAGGAAGAATTGCATCTCGGGCGTGCCAGCTCGAGGAAAATGCGCCCTAGGGGGATGGTATTTTGACTCGGGGCCCGCTCCCGGGACGCCTCTGCGGGAGGAGGAGGAGGAGGAGGAGGAGGAGGAAAAGGAGGAGATGAGCAGGAGGAGGAGGAGGAGGAAAAGGAGGAGGAGGACCAGGAGGAGGAGGAAGTGAATCCCGTGCGTGCCCGCTCGAGGAAAGTGCGCCCCGGCGGGCGTCGTATTTGCCCTGGGCCCCCCCCTTCCCCCTCCCCCCCCCCCTGCGGGGAAGGGATCAAAGGGAAGGGGCTTCCCTTCGACTCCACTACGACGTCGTTTACTTTCGCTTTGGATAGCGCGCTTGAGGAGGAGAGCCCTGGGAGGGGGAGAACGGAGACGACGAGTCGAACGGAGAAGCCCCTCACACACGCCGACAGTGTCGGCGGATTTGTTGACTATTTTCGAATACTCCTCCTGTAGAGGGACGTGCTCGACTTAACCCAAGCCTCGGGATGCCCTCCAGCAGCTGCGCCACGTCGAGATCGCCCCCGAGGGTGCCCGGCTCGCCCCGATCGGCCGCCCGAGGCACCCCCGCCAGGTCAGGTCAGGAGCCGTTTTCACCAAAGGGTGTCCTGCCACGGTAGGTTCATGTGGAGGGTTTCTCCGAAGGGCTTAGGCGACCTGTCCTCCTCCTCCTCCTCCTCCTCCTCCTCCTCCTCCTCCTCCTCCATCTCCTCCTCCCTCCTCCTTCCTCCCCCTCCATCTCCTCCTCCCGCCTCCTCCTCCTCCTCCCTCCTCATCCATCTCCTCCTCCAGGTTCATGTGGTGATGGCACGCCGGCGACGCAGGCGAAGGCGTTCATCGGAGCTCCAGAGACGGGGGTCAGTGCAAACGGGGGTCAGCCAGGGCGCCGGGTCTTGCAGGATCCTGCAGGGCCAGGGGTGGGGTGCGTTGGCCCGGGCTTGCGTGCAGGATCGTGCAAGGTCCTGCAAGATCTTGAAGGATCTTGCAAGGCCTGACTGACCCGGGCTTGCATTGACCCTGATAAGTACTTCCCCGAGTTCAAGGTTGAATTCCACATACTAGAACGACGCGGAAGCATCGATGGGGCACGGTACCGCCCCAGGACCAGACGGAATTCATTATTGAGCGATCGGGGCCGCGATCGATTCAAGGTTGAACGATCGATGCGGTGTCAAGAACATTTGCGCGCGCCGACGCCGCGCGAACCTACCGCAGGGGGGTCCTGTCCACCCCCTGTAAGGGAAGGGAGGGGGTCGAGGACTGCGAGGAAGTGGCCCTGAGGGGGCCTTCGGCGGCCCTTACACCTGCCGCCGCGGGCCCAGAGGAGTGCTTCATCGTGGCAGCAGAAGGCTCGAGCTTGCCGGAACTCGGGCTTGCCGCCGTCTGCGGAGCTCTCCAGGGGCTCAGTACACGAGGGGGCCCAGCCAGAGAGCCGGATCTCACGGGAGCCTGCAGAGCCAGGGGCACATTGGCCCGGGCTGGCGCGCAGGATCCTGCAAAGCCCGACTGACCAGGGTTTGGAGTGGCCCACCGGGTCAGTAGATCGCGTACTTTTGACGATTCCGGCTCAAATGTGGACGTTCCAGTCTTCGGGAGATGAGCCCTAGAATTAAGTCGGGCCTGTCTCTCTACAGGGGGAATATTCAAAAATAGTGGGGAATACTCCAAAAATGCTCAACAATGGTCAAACAATTGTCTGGGGACGATTTTTTGACCATTGTTGAGCATTTTTGGAGTATGTCGTGAGTATTTTTGATTTTTCGCCCAAGATCCCCCCTGTGGGGGGACAGGCCCGTCCTAACCCTAAAAAACCGGACCCCCCTCCAAATGCGACCTAATATTCTGGACCCCCTCTTCGACGGGGCGTCTAAACCGGACCCCCTGAGCTCCAATCCAAAGAAAGCGCCCTAATAAACCAGACCCTCCCATCGGGGGGTCTGGTTTTAAAACGATCGAGCCCATCCAGAAACGATGCCCAGAGGAGTTGCCTCGATCAGGGAAGTGGGCAGCACACAGAGGAAGGGCCCCCCAGTGGAGGCCTCTTGGAACGTCTTGGGGGCCTCTTGGCGGTCCCGGGGGCCTCTTGGAGCGTCCTGGATGCCTCGGGGAGCCTCCTGGGGCCTCTTGGGGATCTCTTGGACGCCTCCTTGGGCGTCTCTTGGGGCTTTCTAGGCGCCTCTTGGGGCCCTCTTGAGGCGCTGTTGGGAGCCTTGGGAGCGCAGGAGATCGGGCAAAGGAGATCGGGCAAAGAAAAGGGGGGCCTTAATTAGCCTCCCCTC